CTATTTATAATATTATAGTATTATAATATTATAATAGTATTATATACATATATAGTATTATATAATATTACATGGATAGTTACTCATTATAAAAAATGTAATAAACTGCAATTATTTTAATTGATGTTATGTCAAGTTTTTCTAAATTCATATTTTTATTTAATATTGGATTTTATTTTACTTTTCCAATTTTTAATCCTTCACAGCAAACAAGTTGAAAAGTACGCGCACGTGGATTAATTTATCTGCGTAATGTCGTCAAAGGTCATCCGTACAAAAAATTTATATAATGGTAAAAATAGATACATGATTCGTTTAACCACTCTGCAAGAAATAACGCTTTAACATTTAAATTGCGCAATCAGTGGCAATATCGTCGGACGAATCGAAAGCACAATAAGTGACGATGCCAGATGCTGCATTGCATAATAAGAAGAGCATCTTTACTCAACCGAAAGGAACCAAGGACCTGGAATTTTCGATCTAATTTCACTAGGAAGCAAGCTGCGACATTTCAATTAGCAAATTCTTGCTAACCAACTCAAAAACGAATTCTTGCACACAGTATCTAGCACCAAATGTCGCCCAATGCGCGACTGAGCAGCTTGCAATATATTTTAATTAATCAACTGTAATTCTCTCTCTCTCTCTCTCTCTCTCTCTCTCTCTGCACACCAAATAATATTATATATATTATATATATATATATATATATATATATATATATATATATATATATATATATTTAAAAAAATAGTCCAAAAATTTGCATATAAACGACATCCGCTTAGTGTATGCGAGTCGCAATAAACTATTCGAAGCTTTAAATGCAATATCTATGTGACAGCGTAAACTTAGAATATTAATCATGCAAACTTGATATTTCAGGAGGAATATCTTGTTAATTATGTTCCTATTTGAATATGCTGCTGTTCTGAATTCGGGATTCTCCATATGCAAATCGACCAGACAAATAATGCTTACTAATCAATGATATGACTACATTAAAATTGTCTTCATTATATAACATTCATTTTCGTATTCACGAACATATCGTCGTGTACATTATTTCGAGTACTCCTAAATTTTTTCACGCACGGATCAGCTTATTGTAAAACCAATGTATATTTTCAAAAAGTATTGAAACTCTATCTATCCTTTTATCTTGAAAGCATCAACCTTCGTCGCGATTATTTTCGAAAACCGTGCTGGTTCGGTAAAATTTCGTGGAAACAGGCTCCGGGGTCGAGAAAGAGAACGTGCGTTGTATAAAGTTAAAAGAGTTTCGTATGCATGCCTGATGGCTCGTTGAAATGGAACGTTCGATGTAATACAATCGTCGTGTTTGCGCTTAGAGTTCCGTACTCGATTCCCCGTATATACCCTTTTGTCGCCTGTTCACCCGTGTTCTCTTCACCGTCTCCTCATCCGTACTTCAATATCCACACGACTGCGAAAACGGATCGTGAGATTGAGAGCAAAACTTTTTAACTACTTCTAACGTACGTCGCGCTTTTGATAGGCAATAGAGTGGGAACGAAACGCAAGAAGAAGAAAGATGAGAAGGGAAAAGAAGAGGAGGAAGGAAAAGAAGAAAAAGTGGAAGCAAGAGAGGTCGACCTAACCTCATGACCCTCATCCTGGAGCGAAGGGTAATAGCATCTCTTCTGCCAAGATATAAGGATGAGAAGCAACACGACGTCAAAATGCCTTCTAATAGCATACCGTTCTCTCTCCGTGGGAGCGCCCAATCCCACGACTTACAAGACCTTAGCATTCTAAAAAATAATTTAATAGTCATCTGCCTAGGGGCTTAAGAAATTTTGCAAGCACGAGAGCAGGATGTGGAGGCAAATTCCGTCGAATTTCACGATGTCGGAGCACGCTCGAATCATAACAATAGCTTCAAACACGGATTTACCTGGATATACAGTATCGAGAATATTCTCATTATCAGTTTTCTTCCATCGTGATATAAATATTTACAAACTTGAACATTCAAATAAGCGCGATTTAAAATATTAAATAAAAATAAAAGCAAATATTTTGTCTCGCTTAAACGAAAAGTGACAATTACAAAATTATATTATAGTCAAAATAAATCTTGTTATATTGATAATATCGGTCCGTATTATCAATGTGAATATTAAATTAATTTTGATACAGACAATGCAACATATATAATATCGATCGTCGGACGTGCACAGAATTGTCAGTCTATTAATAATCAGTGTAGACATATTATCAATGAACTAGTTGGTTACCGTCGTGCGTGCGTATGACAATCCATCTATTCAAGCCATGAGAACGTTCGTCCAAAGTAACGGGTCGCGTTGTGTACTTGAAATTTTTTTAGGGTCAACTAACGTCAGTTTGTTCGGACAGATGACATCTCCGTTATCGACGCCATTGTAACACACTTCATTTTCTGAGTCTCCCTCTCTCTCTCTCTCTCGAACGATGTATCGCACGCATGCAAGCGGAAGACTGTCAATTCAGTCAATACCGGCCGTGCACAGCAACGACATACGCATTACTTAATCTAGCAACATGTCCCCGTGCGTGACGGTCTCCATTTAAATCACTTGATGATGCAGTTAAATTTGCGTATACGTAGTAAACAGCTTTTTTGTTAATATATTTTAATCATGTCAATATCTTATCGTTCAATAAAAAATATCTGTCGAAAAAATTTTTTAAATTCATCGAATTCAAATCTGTAGCACGTGATATATTTAATGAAATAATATTTAATATATACGTGAAAAAATCCATATACATATATATATATA